TTCCATATTTCAAGGGCTGAAGGAAGGACAATGCCGAAGCTGGGGAAATAGGTGGCTGCAGTGAACTGAATGTTCATGACCCCCTAACATTTGTATGTTGAAATCCTAACCCCCAAGGTGATGGTATTAAGAGGTGCGGCTTCGGGGGGTGATTAGATCATGAGGGCAGAGCTCTCATGAGTAGGGTTAGTTCCCAATATAAAAGAGACCCCAGAGAGCTCCCTCATACCTTCTACCATATGAAGAAAGCAAGGAGGCTGTCTACGAACAAGAAAGCAGGCTCTTGCCAGACACCCACTCTGCTGGTGCCTTGATCTTGGACTTCCCAGACTCCAGAACTGTGAGAAATAAATTTCTCTTATTTATAAGCCACCCAGTCTTTCATATCAGCCTGAATGGACTAAGACAGTGCTAAAGCACAACTTAAATCAAACCTAGGACTACACATATAAACAAGAACTAAAATCAAGCACATCCTCAACGTGGACTCTTCCGCAGAGCTTTTGTTGCCCATCAGCTACAAATTACTGACACCTTCTTAATGACAGCGTGCCTTTGTTAATGAAAATCACGATTGGTACAGCCACTATCTCAATTTCATTTTCCCTATACAAGCAGAACCTGAAAACAAAGCTTCTGTTAGACCACTTAATCATCTTATTTTTGAGGTAAAATATGAGCAACTACCAGTAAATTGTTTTGATATGGTTTTTGCTTAAATGGAGGAAAAGGAGCAGAGGAGGAGAGAACAAAAGTGTTTATCTTGAGCGAAACAAGCCCTTGGCAAAAAGTTGGCTTCAATAGGGGGATGGAGACCAAGGACCGCCCCTCCCCACAGTGGTTGGATGGTCTAACCTAGATGGTCTACTTTAATAAAGGAAGAGATGGGTAGGATGAAAGAAAACCTTCTGGAGGCTGAACTTGTAAACTGAAGGGTGTAAATTGATCATGGCATTAGGGTCATTAAAGAGCAATTGAAGAAATAGGCCCAGTTTTCCTGGGCTGGTATTGGTATGGATGTGAGTGTTGATACCCCATTTCATGATTGAGATGGGGAACAATTAAGAGTGACCAAGGCATCGTCTTAGGGATTTGATCACCACTCCAGTTCTTCCCTGTTTTTCACAGGAGACCCCCATTGAATGGCTTTGAAGAGTGTGGATTCTCAAATTATCGGCCATAGGTGTTTCAGAGGGGCAGGTGTGTAGTCTGTGTCAGGAATCTTTAAAAACAGAATCAGGGCCTTTCAAGAAATTTAAAAATTAACACAATTGGAATCATTTTTCAGATCATTTTAATCCTTTCAAATCATTTAAATTTGAGCTTTTTTCCCCACAATGGCAGTTGGATACATTACACGACATATGTTTATTTTATTTTTTATTTTCGTGTTTAAAAGAGGTCTTTAGATGAATATGAATCCAAGTATTTGGGTGGATATAACAGAACCATATGTAACAGAAATCTAAGATCATCTTTCCCTCTAAGATGAAAAATATGGTATATGATATTTTATTGGATAAAATTACTAAACATTTTTAGACCCTGAGGTTGTATATTTTATGATGTTGGCTGCTGCATAGTTGCAATGATTGCTTTTGCAAATTGTTCATTTCTTTCTTTTTTAAAATTTGCATTTTTATTTTACATATGCAGATTTGTTATAAGGGCATAGTGCATGGTGCTGAGGTTTGGACTTCTACTGATCCTGTCACCCAGATCATGATCATAGTACCTAATAGGATGTTTTTCTTTCTTTTTTTTTTTTTTTTTTGAGACAGAGTCTTGTTCTGTTGCCCAGGCTGGCGTGTAGTGGTGTGATCTCGGCTCACTGCCAACTCTGCCTTCCGGGTTCAAGGGATTCTCCTGCCTCAGCCTCCTGAGTAGCTGGGACTACAGGCGCGTGCTACCAGGCCTGGCCAATTTTTTGTATTTTTAGTGGAGACGGGGTTTCACCATGTTAGTCAGGATGGTCTCAATTTCCTGACCTCACGATCCACCCATCTCGGTGCTGGGATTACAGGCATGATCCACCGCACCTTGCCTAATAGGATGTTTTTCAGAAGAGCATATGTTTAATAAGATACCACAGGGCAACAAAGAAGGAAGAAGATGTGGCTCCTGCCCACAAGGAATTTGCATTCTGATTAGATTATGACGGTATAGGCCTGATTCTCTTTCAGATGTGCCAGTTCACGTGCATTTTCCATTTTAGATTTCTGAAACAGAAACTTCTTGTTCTTTAAATTAAGTTCTTGTTCTTCACAAGTTGTTTTATACTGAGGAAAAAAAACAAAACACTGGGTTCAGACCTCTCCAGAGATGAGAGTACTGCATTATCTGAAGAAATAGGAAGAAAAACGTATTACGAGCTTGCGTGCACCTCTGACCTTTAGACCGGGGTTTCTCAACTTTAGCCCTATTGTCATTTGGGTCAGGATGGCCCTTTCTTGAGGGAGCCCATCCTGTGCGTTGTAGGATGTTTAGCAGCATCCCTGGCCCTTATCCACTAGATGTCACTAGCACCCTCCCCCAGTTTTGCCATCCAAAAATGTCTCCAGACATTGCCAAAGGTTTTTAGGGGACTGAATTGCTCTCTCTGTTGAAAACCACTTTTTTAGGCACTCTCAGGAGAGCTCTTCGTCTGTATTGCTGGAACACTTTTATAAATAAAACAAAACACCAAGGTTAAGATACTGACTTCCGGCCAGGGGCAGTGGCTCACACCTGTAATCCCAGAACTTTGGGAGGCTGATGTGAGTATATCACTTGAGGCCAAGAGTTGAAGACCAGCCCGGCCAACATGGCAAAACCCCATCTCTACTAAAAATACACAAAAGTCAGCTGGGTGTGGTGGCACGCACCTGTAATCCCAGTTACTCGGAAGGCTGAGGCAGGAGAATTGCTTGAACCTAGGAGGTGGAGGTTGCAGTAAGCTGAGATCACGTCACTGCACTCCAGCCGGGGAGACAGAGTGAGACTCCATTTCAAAAAAAAAAAAAAGATATTCACTTCCACATTTCAGCAGTTTTGGAAGGAAGAGGATTATCTGCTCTGTTAGACTAAACCAGAGGCAGATTTCTGCTTTTTATGGAAATAGGAGGATGATGCTGCCATACACGGGGGATTTGACTAACAAAACAACTATGATAGTCTCATCCTTATTCTTAGTGGTGGGGCGGGATGCGGAGGGTCGTTGGTGGTGATTTCTCTCAATTCATGTTTCTCCTAGTTTTTCGGTTGTTCTTGATTCTACCCATCCATGGTACTTCTAAGGACAGGGAACTGGACCACCCCAAACTGATATACACTGGTTCTACTCATCACACAAGGGGGTCTCAACAGGCCTATCTGTCTTATCAGCAAGTCTGCTGATACTTAACAGGGGCTGGCTCCAGAGACCTGGTGCTTGACTCTGTGGAAGAAAATCAGCATCAGCAATGTCATCAGTGCCTGTGGGGGTTGAATTGTATGTGTACACCTTAATAGATAATCTGCACATCCCTGTGCCGCACTGCAACCTCCAGGGACCTTAGCAATGCTCATATTCTACCCAGGTTTTGCAGGATGGCTGCCTGGCACTCAGAGTTTGCTTACGTAGGAGGTGAACTCAACTCAGCACCCACAATTATGTGGGGTGAGCATCCTACAGGATGCAGGCTACTCAAGCCTTTATTTCTGCCAGGCACCCAATTAAACACTGACAATACTTGATTGAATGTTTCCTTTCCAAAAGTTGTCTCATTTCCTTTTTTGAAAATAAATCTGTCATTGAAAATTGAATTAATTTGTATTTAAAGCCACTTTGGAGAGTTAGGGGTTGGGAAGTTCTCAGTGAGCAAAAGAACTCATTTATGAATCCCTATTTCCACATGGCACTAATCTCCATGCATTTTACTATTATCACAGGACTGATTGTACTTGGTTTAGGTGAGCCTAGTAGGCAGACTGAGATGTGTTGGTTTTGCAAGTTGCCAAAATGCTCTTCCTCTGCCAGGTGCTCTTTGACCTATTTGAGTCTACCGATTAAGCCCCTTAGTGGCTGTATTGGTCAGGGTTCTCCAGAAGCAGAACCAATAAGGTATATAGATAGATAGTTGAGAGGGAATTTATTAGTGGAAATTGCTAACACGATTATAGAGGCTGAGAAGTCCCCTGATAGGCCATCTGCAAGCTGGAGACCCTGAGATACTGCTAGTGTGGGACAGTCCAAGTACAAAGACCTCAGAACCAGGAAAGCTGATGGTGTAACTCTCAGTCTGAGGCCGAATGCCTGAGAACCCAGAGGGGTGCTGGTGTAAGTTCTGAGGTCCAAAGGCTGAGAAGCCTGTAGCTGTTATCTAAGGATAGGAACAGAAGAGTGGATCCAAGCTCCAGCAGATAGGTGGACATATTCAACTTTTCCATGAGTTTGTTCTCTCTGGGCCCCCAGCAGTTTGGATGATACCTGCCCACATTGAGGGCGGATCTTTCCCATCTAGTCCACTCAGAATTACGTGATAGTCTCCTCTGGAAACACCCTCAGAGACACACCCAAAAATAATGCTTTACCAGGTTTCCAGATATTCTTCAATCCAGTCAAGTCAACACCTAAAAGTCACCATCACGGCGGCTCATTCCTAAGGCTTTTAGTTTCTATTTAGACCGGTTCTCCAGAAGTAGAGTAGACAGGCTTTTTTTTTTTTTTGAGACACGGTTTGGATCTGTTGCCCAGGCTGGAGTGCAGTGGTGTAATCACAGCTCACAACAGCCTCGACCTCTTGTGCTCAAGCAGTCCTTCCACTTTAGCCTCCCTGGTAGCTAGGACTACAGGTGTGTACCACCATGCCTGTATAATTTTTTTGTAGAGACAGGGTTTCGCCATGTTGCCTAGGCTGGTCTCGAACTCCTGAGCTGAAACAATACACTCGCCTTGGCCTCCCAAAGTGCTGGGATTATAGGAGTGAGCTACTGAATCTGGTCCAACGGTCTTGATACAAGCCTGACCTGCTTTCTCCTAGTGCATCCACTCTGGGAGACCATGGACTTGGTTCCTGCGGGCGATCGGCAGTCACCCATCAATATCCGGTGGAGGGACAGTGTTTATGATCCCGGCTTAAAACCACTCACCATCTCTTATGACCCAGCCACCTGCCTCCACATCTGGAATAACGGGTACTCTTTCCTTGTGGAATTTGAAGATTCTACAGATAAATCAGGTAAGAGCAAGATCTGGTGGTCTTGTAAGGAGCTGAAGGAACAGCGTCATGTTAACATGGACACATCAAACTCTCTTCATGATAGTATTGACCTCTTTGTGAGCAATGGCATGGAACTCATTGATCTTAACTTTTTGAATGTGTGAAAAAAATTCCTTCTAGTTTTTATGCATATTTCTTCAACTAGTATAGGTAGTATTTTAAATAATAAATATATCTCTCTCTATGTATCGATTTTATAGTTGTGTAGAACATAGGTGTGAAATTGGTTTTGCCAGAAATTTATTTTGTATGTATATATAGAATGTGTACTAATTTTTCCTTTGCTTGTTGACTTTATAAGAATTTTTACATTAAAGTAACATCGTTTAATCAGATTTAGCTTACCAGATTATAATACACTTGAAATGAGGCAAAAAGGATATTCATGTGTTCATTAGGTTACAAAGACTAGTCATATATTAGAGAAATGAAAACTAATGATCTGGTAATTTTGTTAAATAAACAATGTTACCTACCTGGTTTAAAAGAAATACAACTGAAAAGAGTTTTCTAAATTTAAATATTATATTGATTTTTAATCTTCTCTTTTTTTTAAACTTCTTGGATATAAACTAATGTGAATGACTTCAAAGTTTACCTGAAACTTGTAGTGTCTATGGAAGATAGAAGGTGGTTAATTTTGTGAATATTTCTTCTTTTCCCTTTTGTTTGTTTGCTTGTTTTACTGCATTTGATGATGTCAAATAGTTCAAATTAGTCTCAAAATGATTGTTATTTGAAATAGTTTATCTAAAGTAGTTATCAACCAGTGGTAGTTTTGCCAGCTTTCCCCCATACCCCTCCAAAGGACTGGGGACACTTGGCAACATCCGGGGGCGTTTTTGGTTGTCACAACTTGGGAAACGAAGTTAGCATCTAGTGTGTCAAAGTCAGGGATGCCACTAAAGATCCTACAGTGCACCAGACATCATTAACAAAGAGTTATCTAGCCTTCGGTACTGATAGAGCTGAAGCTGAGAAATCTTGATCTCAAGGAAACTTGTTTTCTCTCATGAATGTTAAGAAATGAGTCCATAAAAATGATCATGATGCCGGTGTGGTGGCTCATACCTGTAATGCCAGCACTTTGGGAGGCTGAGGAGGGTAGATCGTCTGAGCTAAGGAGTTTGAGACCACCCTGCGCAACATGGTGAAACCTCGTCTCTACTAAAATACAAAAAATTAGCAGGGTGTGGTGGCGCATGCATATAATCCCAGCTTCTTGGGAGGCTGAGGCAGGAGAACTGCTTGAACCTGGGAGACAGAGGTTGCAGTGAGCAGAGATCACGTCACTGCACTCCAGCCTGGGCGACAAAGCCAGACTCCATCTCAAAAAAAAAAAAAAAAAAAGTAAATATTCACTCCTGCATTTATCCTGGCTCTGAGTCTGAACTGTGTCTTTGTTTTCTTCATATTTTCCTAGTGATGCTCTGATACTTAGACATGGCACTCTGGCTCAACTACAAACAGACTGCTCCTCCAATGGGCTTAATCTCTCTCTGGCTTTCTCCCTTCTGATATATTTCTCTGCTGTGATTCAGGAGGTAGTTGAGTCTGTCTTTAAGGGTTTAGGTGTCTTCATGTCCCCAACTTTCCTTTCTCCCCCATGGTATAACACAGCCTCCAAACCCTGAACATCTTACTTTCATATCTCCAAGTAGGAAGAAATTGTTCTTTTTCCTTCCAGATTCATGGGCATCTTTCTTTTTCCCTTTTATTTTTGCATAAAGTTATTTATTTAAATCTTATATCTGTAAATTCACAGGTTGATATGTTTCAATATATTGTTTCTGATTCTCTTAAAATAACTAACTATACAAGTAAAACCTTCTTGTACCACATAAAGCCATTTCAAGTGGGGTGCAGTGGCTCATGCCTGTAATCCCAGCATTTTGGGAGGCCAAGGCAGGTGGATCACATGAGATCAGGAGTTTGAGACCAGCCTGGCCAACATGACAAAACCCCATCTCTACTAAAAGTACAAAAATTAGCTGGGCATGGTGGTGAGCACCTGAAATCCTAGCTACTCAGGATGCTGAGGCAGGAGAATTGCTTGAACCTGGGAGGTGGAGGTTGCAGTGAGCCGAGATCATGCCATTGCACTCCAGCCTGGGCAACAAGAGTGAGACTCTGTCTCAAAAAAAAAAAAAACCATCTCATGTACCATCAGCGGTATATGAACCATGCTTTGGGAAACATTGTTTAAGGCCATCTGGGTCTGTTGATGGACTGGCTAGAGAAGGGAGGAATAAAAATGATAAGAAACAAAAATGATACTGATATACATTATTTTAAAATAGATTTAGTGGGTAAAAGTTTATTTTAGTTTTTTTACATGGATATATTGTGTAGTGGTGAAGTCTTGGCTTTTAGTACACCCATCATCATGCATCTTTCTTAATTTTCTCAAAACTCTAGAGTGTGCCCCCCTTCTCAACTGGAAGTCCACAATATTACATTGTTTATAAGGATTCCAGAAATCTTCAAAACAAGAAGCTAAATTCCTGTGTTCCAGATGACTGGCGCTCTCTTGTGAGCTCACCCTAGGGGCTCTACGGTTATCCCTGCCAGATGTAAACTAATGGGCCAACCCAGTCTATAGGATACCAACTCTCATCTTACTTTACATGCATAGCAATCCTTTTGATTTCTCAACCCCATCTAGGGCCCTAGCAGCCTGCTTTCTTCTGAGGACCCTAGGTATTGGTTAGCTTTCTAAAGCCCTTAACAGTCTAGGGACTGTCTATTTCCAATATATCATTGTTTCATTGAGTTGGAAGTCTTAGAAAGTTGCTTAATGAGTTCCTTAACCAAGTGACCTGAGCCCAAGAACTTTCAGGGCAAATGGTCGTTCTATTTTTTAGTCCTCTCTTTTTCTTTTAGACAATAGATTCTAGAATTTTTTTTTCTTTTGAGACAGGATCTTGCTCTGTTGCCCAGGCTGGAGTGCAGTTCCATGATCGCAGCTCACTGTCACTGCAGCCTCAACCTCCTGGACTCGAGCAATCCTCCCACAGCAGCCTCCCTAGTAGCTGGGACCACAGGCATGTGCCACAATGCCTGGATAATTTTTTTTTTTACAATGTCTCAGTCTGTTGCCCAGGCTGGAGTGCAGTGGCATGATCGCAGCTCACTGTCACTGCAGCCTCAACCTCCTGGACTCGAGCAGTCCTCCCACATCAGCCTCCCTAGTAGCTGGGACCACGGGCATGTGCCACAATGCCTGGATAATTTTTTTTTTACAATGTCTCACTCTGTTGCCCAGGCGGGAGTGCAGTAGCATGATCTTGGCGCACTGCAACCTTCACCTCCCGGGTTCAAGCGATTCTTCCACCTCAGCCTCCCGAACAGCTGGGATTACAGGCACATACCATCATAACCAGCTAATTTTTGTATTTTAGTAGAGATGAGGTTTCATCATGTTGGCCAGGCTGGTCTCAAACTCCCGACCTCAAGTGATCTGCCTAACTCGGCCTCCCAAAGTGCTGAGATTATAGGTGTGAGCCACTGCTCCAGGCCCTGGCTAATTTTTGTATTTTTTGTAGAGACAGGGTTTCACTGTGTTGCCCAGGCTGGTCTCATATGCCTGAGATCAAGCGATCCTCCCACCTCAGCCTCCCAAAGTGCTTGGATTACAGGTGTGAGCCACCAAGCCGGGCCTCAAGACTTCTTATCTATCCATTTGCATAAGTAATCTCAGATGGAAAACAAGCCATCTGTGTTTTCATCACAATAGCTTCTTTTTAGATGCCTACAAACCCGACCAACTAAATCACCTCTTGAACTTATCTTCGCTAAGTGTGTCAATCTCACGCCTACAGAATATGCAAGAAAAATTGTAGAGTGTTTGCTAATTATTCTCTTGTTTGGTTAGAAAGAACTAAAACTGATAGCTCTTTTGAATTATGCTTTAACAATTATTTTCTTTAAGATAGCATCAATTTTTAATAATTACCTAATTTTCTTTCTCTTTTTCCACCTTTCAGTGACTGCCTCTTATTTCCTGCTTATTCTTCACTGCTATTTCTCCATGTTTTTGCATAATAATCAATAGCATGCAAAGAGGAAAAAAGAGTGAATGAACACAAAAAATAAAAAGTGAAAGTAAAGACATTCTAGAAACAAAGAAAGGCAAGAAACAATTCTAGAAAAGTAAAAGCCTAATAAATATCAATGACTATACATTTCAAAGAAACAAAAACCATAAGAAATGCTGCCATAGTGTGCTTTATGAGGATTGGAATAAAGTTCAAGGAAAACAAGCCGGGGAAGGTATGTGACAAAAACATTATACCAGTCCTTTTGGGATGCAGCTAAAGCAGTACTTAGAGGGAAATTTATAGATGAAAATGCCTTATAATAGAGAAGAACTTTCTCAAGTCAGTATCTCAGCTTTCCACTTTAAGAAACTAGAAAAAGAAGAACAAACTAAACCCAAAAGCAAATAGAGAGAAGGACATAATAAAGAATGAGCAGAAATCAATGAAATCAAAAGTTGGTTCTTTGGGAAGATCAACAAAGTTGACAAACTTTTAATTAGGGGAGACCAAGAAAAAAAAAAATAGAAGACTCAAATTACTAAACTCTGGAATGAAAGAGAGGACAACATGACCTACCTTAGTAGGATTATAAGAGAAGGTATGTGAACGTCTCATACTACTGTCCCCTGCTGGGTGTTGTTTGGTATTTGGTTCCCCTGAGTAGGACACCATTACTGATTTTAATGAGTGCATATAACAGAGTCGAAATACTGTGGGGAAGGGCACTAAATTACCCCTGGATGATTCCTGTCAATTATCATCTCCTCTGGAATTCCTCTTATTGGCACTGTCAACAGGCATTAAAGAGATGGAGAGGTGAGTGCCTTTATTCTCCTCCTCAGGGTGCTTCCTGCTCCATCCTGCTTCCCTGACTTTACACTTCTATGGGGCAGAGCCGGCGAACCTAGTAAGAATGCT